AAGAAGAAAAGCTGCTGGCCAAAAAAAAAGCACTCTAACATGTTAAGGTTGGGGACTACCATCCACCCCCTATAAATCCACCCAGATGTACCATTTAGTCATTCTGTGAAGCCAAGTCGACCAAATGCTGCAAGTATTTCTAATGGATTATACAATACATGTTAAAATGTTTTCGTCACGTATTCATTAATTTTAGTGATTAACATGATCAGTTTATAATATTTTTATTCCATTATTTAGTGAACATAATATACGCGTTTGTATCAGCTACAATCCCTGAAGTGGTACGTTTCACTTATCTATCTCTGCTGCTCCTCTTCACTGTGTTTTACTAATTTAATTTGAAAAATGAATTCTCAAATGTGTTGCTTTTGTACGTGGCACTTCCTCGTCCAATATTTTTTAAACCTGTGTTTATTGTAAAATTATTATTTTACGATATTTTAATGGGTAGGCCTATAAATAGGAACTCAAAATATGCCAATAATTCTAAGAAATTTAAAGGTAATGGGGCTACGATATAATTATTATAATCCAGAACTGTGTACGCGTCTGGACGATAAATCGTCACAAACATTTTGTCATTACTGAATTTAGTATGATCATGGAGGTATAATTATACCTCCATGGTATGATCATTACTATAGTCGCACGTTAAGTCTCAAATATTTGTTCCTTAAATAAAAGTAGACCTACTTTTGAAATTAAAGATGAGAACAAAACAAAAGCTTAACATCTACTATGTAAGAAATGTGTTTAAATTGTATTTGTCATTTTGAATTTATATATCACATTACAGGTGATGTCTTTATACTAGCATACAGCATCGACAACCGAGACACGTACCATGAGGTATTACGTTTGAGAGAGAATATTGTAGACACATTCCGCGCCAACAAGGGCATTAAGGCTGTTCCAATGGTAATTGCAGGCAACAAAAGTGACCATCCCAACCGCGAGATAACCACTGAGGAAGCTAAAAAGGCCTTTTCTTATAAAAGATGCTCATTTGTGGAAACAAGTGCCAAGAAAAACCTTCATATCGATACACTGTTTCGACATCTCTTTGAGAATGCACGTATGCCCAGTGAAATGAGTCCGTCACTGCATCGAAAGGTTAGTGCTTCCAG